TTCCCTTTCATTCTATGCTCAAGTTTTTCATTATTTCATTCCTTTTCCTATTTCCTTTTAATCATTTCATATCAAGCAAGGCTATAAAGCCACTAAGGCACAACGAGTAAAAAAGAACGAGAAGTCGCTGGTGAGGAGAAAGGACAATAAATGCACAGAATTCAGCGAGAGAAGATAGCGTTTGACGTTGCATTTAAATTTTTGTCGATTAAGGGAAAAAAAAGAAGCCAATAGAGACTTCCACACGCGAGAAGTGCGAGAAAAGAAACTATATGAATAGAACTTACGCTTACATCTAGCTAGTTCAACCGTAAAACGATGAGACCTATTTGTTAATCTAGTAGTACGCTTAAATTCTTGAAACCGATATAACAAGCAGATGGGCGATATTTATTCTGTTTAATACAGAAATGTGGCACAAGGCCGTAGGGGGTGATTGGGGAAAGGACGGTCTTCTTCTGTCTTAATTATAACTTAGCTAGCCGCAAACACTGACCCAATCGTACGAACAATATCCCTTACACCAAAACAACACATTCATTCGTACCTTTCTTACTACATCCACCATAATACCTCTTTGTCTCTATGAAAATACTAACTAGTCCCCATATTTACAATTGATTGTCTGTATGTGGGTGGGGGATAAAACAACAATTCTAAAACCTAGCCCCAATGAGTATTTACAAACATGATTACAAAACTATTTACAAGAAACTAAAGAAAATATTATTAATAATAAAAAAAACCACAATCACTAAATGTGGCAGAAACATCAGTTCACTGGCCGAAATCGATGCGGGACTATAATAGTATAAAACAGTCATTCATCCCAAGCACTCACACTAACATGCACTCATTCAGACACAACAACAAATACGAAAAAAACACTCACGCGAAACGAAAGGCACCCCGCATCCACCAACGAACTGACGTCACTGACCACCTAACGAGGGAGGGGATGGGGAATTAAAATAGGGACAGAAATAAAAGGGGCCAATGAGCATACATACCCTAGCTAAGTTAACTGAAGAGCTTATCAGAAAAATTGCCATGAAAATATTTATAGTAAAGACAGAAGGAAGCTACGTCACGGGTGTGGAAAAGTGAATGAAGTCGAGATGCCAGGTTAGGACCGATAATATAACAGACACTTCTTAGGATTTTGTCGAGAATCTCGATATATTATAGGAATGCCAGATCAGATATTGCAACAATATTCAATGTCTTTTTTTCTTTATACTTTTTCTTCTTTTTCTTTCATTAATTAATTTTTCTTCCTTTCGTTTTTTTCCTTTCTTGATCTTGTTTATTTTTTGTATTTTTCTTCTTATATTTTTTCCCACTTCCATTTTCTTCATTCTACTTTTTTTCTAATTTTTCTTTTACATTTATTTTCTCCATTCTTTTGTCCTTGTCTTCCTTCATTTTTATTATCTTTTTTTTTCTATTCGTGTGATCACACCCCAGAATCAATAGCGATTATTCACCAGATTCCAAGTGGCAGCACGTCTCCTCACGTTTGTCCGGGTTATTTCAGTTCTATCCCGATTTCGAGTCTTACCAACTTCTTTTACTAGGCTCTTCTATTGCTGGCCCCCTGATAATAGATGGATATCAACTTTGTTTCGCAGTTTCCTCGGCTCTCTGCTATGACCGAAACACTTATCCATTTCTTCAATATCTTTTAGGTTTAATCTTTGGCACGCTGGAACAGAGAAATTCATTACTTTTCCTTCTTGGGGGTTGGTGTTTGCTAAATGCGTTTACCTACATGAGTTAGGCGATTGATTTGAAACTCAAAACCTCAAAGTATTTATATACATTATTCTTAAAGACTAATTCTGGCTTGTGATTACACCATTGATTTCTATGCTCAAAATGCAATCCCTTGCACAGTTCTCAATGTCCCACCTTTCCTACCCAGACATACCTATTATTATTATTATTATTATTATTATTATTATTATTATTTGCGTATGTTTCCTGTTCTGCATCCTGTAGAGCCGGGTCCAAACTATGTTCCTTAGGCACTATAGGATGCTTGTCATTTAATTGATAGCACTTTTCTTAGTATATAGGACGATATAGTAGGTCGATCTTCCGGACAACTTGTATGTTGATGTTACCTGGGATACTGTTATGGAACCTTACCCATAATAACATAATGGACTATTCCATACTTAATAAATACTGCGCCCCAAGAGGAAGCAGAGAGTTCCGTCTGAAGTCTAGCGTTCAGTCTGAAGTCTGGAGTGAAGTCCGTCAGGAGTCTGTCTGACCAACAGACTCCTGACGGACTGTCAGAGCGAGCGAGTCAGTCAATCGAGTCAGAGGCAGTCGCGTTCAGACAATTACTACTAAACTTGATTGTTCTTACTAACACTTTTCTACCTCTCTGTATATATTCCTGTTTGTAATATATCTGTTATTCCATATCCGTGTTCGAGTTCTTCTTTATTGGTTCTACCTTGGACTATCACCGTGGTACAAGGAACCGGGCCATAACAGATACTATTAATAAAATTGTCCATTCCTTTTCTCACGAGGCCCCAGAGCTCCGATTACCATTGATGCAGTCTCAGACTTCATTGCCCACATCCTGTTAATCTCGATCTCCTTGTCCATGTATTATATATATATATATATATATATATATATATATATATATATATATATATATATATATATGGACATTGAGAACACCAGTGAAGACAGACTGTTTCATGCTTGAACGTAATTTTCAGGCCATGACGATTGTCTGATTTAGACCTCAGTATCCACACTTATATATATACATATATATATATATATATATATATATATGTGTGTGTGTGTGTGTGTGTGTGTGTGTGTGTGTGTGTGTGTGTGTGGGAGAAGAGGATATATATATTTTATATACCAAAAAAATGGTCACCTCTAGGCTGTGTAATGGTTAGCCAGCTTAACTCGCTAAAACAATTACAACTGGGTCGTGATTTTGAACCTCACTGGGTACACCATATTTTCGACTTTGTGCCACATCTCAGCTACGCTTGGAAAATCAATATACCTGAAACATCCTAAACGATGAAATGCTCTACACAATTGTTTCCAGTCTTTCATTAATTTTCCTAATATGTACAAAAATCTTCAAATTCTCCATGTGCTAGATATCTAAAAAATCAAAATCAACAAACGAACCCTGAACAATATTTATTACGAGTGTAGCAGCAGCATTTTGAAGTGCATTTGACCAACATTTAATGACGTTTACATTTCTACTAACTTCTGGATTGCTCCATTATATTGGGACGCTTGTTTTGTAAAAATAACAACGGATAGATTTAAAATTTTAAAATGATTATAACAGAACGCGTTCACGCGTGTTATCAAAAATCACTCTCACAACGGCCACAGTTACAATAAGTTTGTCTTTGCAATTCACCCCTAAGGATGAACTCAGAGGCGATCGAAAGTACTTGGGTAACAAAAAAAAAGCTACGGTGACTCCTTGATGAATTTCATCTTAGCATGAAGAAACTGATTAGGGAACTAAAAAGTATTATTATAAAAATAAATAGATATTACACGTATATGTCTATATTATTCAATGAAACATCATTATATATATATATATATATATATATATATATATATATATATATATATACAGACACACTGTTTCAGAGCTCCGATTGCCTCAAGACGAGATCGAAACCCGAGTGATCTGATATCAATCAGATATATTACCCTAGGCCATCGTCGCATGACAGAATATATATATATATATATATATATATATATATATATATATATATATATATATATATATATATATATATATATATATATATATATATATATATATATATATATATGGTAAATATATACATATATATGCAATCATATATCTAAAATATATAAATATATATACATACATACATACACATAGATATATATATATATGTACAAAAAATAATTTCAAGAGGATAGAATCCAGGTAGAACTCAATGGCTAGGACAGAGTAAGGATATAATAAAAAGGCTTAAATACTAATATTCCATGGTCATAATTTATTCCATAATTTATGACCATGGAATATTAGTGTTTAATGTTATTTAATACTGTTTATTAATAACAGAGCATTTACTTAAATACTTGTATCTATAAAAAGAACGTTAAACATAAAAATGTCTTTAATAAATAAATTGTCGGACTTTGTCCATTTCTTAATATATATATTGGGTCCAGTTTTTAAAAAATGTTTGGTTTTCTACATTATTTGCGAAATATTTTTTAAACTGGCAGATAGAAAATGATGGTTACTTATTAAATTGTGTTCAAGACAGACATTGCTTAACCTAGGTAATAAGAACAAAACCGCTGATTCTAGCATAGCCGTTTGCTCCCATAGTTTTCTTTATCTACATTTAAGTGTCCATCGATGGACAGTTTAATCTCCTCTATCTTCTCCTTCTCCCATCTAACAAAAGATCTTAACATACCGCCACTTAATTCAGTTGAACTAAGAATATATCGGTTGAAGAGCTGTATAATGAAAGATAATATAGTCTAGCGAATACAGGATATAATAAGAAAGATCTCACCACTTTGAACAATATAGACAGAATGTATCAGCCAAAAATCTGATAATCACCTGAAATATACATGGAAAAAATAATATTTTATCTCACAATTTTGAACAAATGACTGAAGCATATATTGACCGAAACGTTTGCTTCAAAACTAAATGAATTACTATATATTTTAATATTTGATCCACCATACTTATCTTGGTTGTTATACCCACTACGTTTCTGTCGATGTATCTACCCGCCCTCTACAGTTGTCTATCTTCAACTATACAGTAAGCAGACTACACTCTCTAGCATAGGATGGTAACCAGTCTAAGAATGTCGGACGACCGGCTGAATGGTTGAACTCTCTGCCTTCGTGCGGGGAGGAACCCGAACGAGGCTACGCCGAAAGGCGGATTCTCGTTCGGGGAGGTAAACCGACCT